ATGTGATCTATTTATATGCTTCCTTAGGGTTATTGTTCGATAATGATTTTAGTCAGGTTTTCCCTGTCTGAGCTATCAAGTTGACGAGTACTGACTGTGTGTTACACATGCGGTGCTAGAAGTCCGATGAAGAATGATTTCTCAATCGGTACGCGCACAATACATTGGCTTCATTCTTGCAATGCACGGCTTACAAAAGCAGTATCACTTAACAGAGCAATATGTTGCTTGCTCGAGATTGTCTACTGAAGATCCTGTCGCACTATTTGAACTATGTAAGGCGGAAGCTGAAATCAAGGATTTTTTAAAAAAGCGTTCGTGTTCCACAACGTTTCACATTTGAGCAAACAGCGGATCCCGCTAGCTAAGATCAAATAACGCTTATAGTTTTACGGCCGATAGGCATTGCTTTAGATAGCTGCAACCCCTTAGCACGTAACGAAATGTACCTACATCCTGTCTCGAATCTAGACCACCTTATGAGCCCCTAAGTTTAGTAGGCAAACACGTTGTCACTATTCCTTCACGGGGCAAATCCCACAACCTGGAATGGACCCTTCTGCCACCCCCCGATCCTCTGCGGAATGAAAGAAGAAGCAGAAAGGATAACTCCCCCACCTGAAACAGCACGCGAAGCACTCTGCTCGTTCCGATGATCTGATCAGATAAATTGTTGGTGTCTCTTTTTGGCGCCTCCTCGCCATTTCGACCCTTCCCACTTCGTTGGTTAGTGCGCGGCAGCAGAAGCAACCGGGGACTACATACAGCAGTTGATTGGTCTCTGTCTGCTGCTATAGCTGGTAGTGGCCGACTGTCGCTGCCGTAATCGTTAAGGTTGTGGTAGTTGGGGCGACCCAGGCCCGCTATCGTACCTGTTGCTTGCTACTGCGGTTGTTGGAGCGACTCCGACTGAAACTTCTGTTGCTGATCTTGTTCGATCAGACAAGGAAAAGTAAACGCTCAAAGCAGAACGATGTTGCGGCTGTCGCTACCGGCGAAGTAATCGATATCCTGTAGCTCTGTGGCTGTTTGCTGTGAGTGCAGTTACGATAATATCATATCAAAAACAGAAGGGACGACACAGGCCAAAACCTACCCAGTCCGATACCCGAAACGGGTTACAAGTAAATGTGACCGCGGATGAAATCTGTTGATGTAACATTTCGTCGAATTGTTACGTGTTCAGTATCTGTGCCCGCTATAGTTCCGCGGCGTACGACTGTTAACTACGTGAGTACCAGTGAGAAAGTAGACAGATTGTTCTATAAACTTAGCTTTCTCAAAAAAGCTCAAACTAGATTAAGTTCAATGTATATATATATATATATATATATATATATATATATATATATATATATATATATGTCGATCGAATGAGTAACGAGTTGTGAGTTCGTTCGAACGAGAGAAAAACGGGGACGAAGTCTAGTGACAATAGCTATTAGTTGAAAGATTGTGGTCCTATAGTAGCTATGGTTAGGAGAGCTCAGTAATACTACTCGAGTGCACCCTGCCGCATGGAAAGTCAGAAGACTACCTATTTCTGAGTTGAGTCGTACCGTAATTTATCGATCGTGGTTCTAGCTTTCGTAGCTACTGTTGTGCTGTGCGACATCGGCTGATTAATAGTTAACTATCCTCGTGGAGGACGCCGCCATTAGGCTAAATAGGATCTGTCCTCCCTCCCATCGCTTGTGTCTCCTCCTCAAGTGTATGGCTATAGCATTGGATCATCTGTCGCTACCTGCAGCTAGTTGCTAGTTAACTTTCGTGCGGATTTCATACGGCGTCCCCATGAGTATTTCAAGCGGGAAGTGGTGACACTTTCGTTCTAATTATAGCCAGTGAAGATACATTAGCTACAGGTGTTTACTGTGTTTGCCACACGAGCACTTCTACGAAACATCCTAGGAATAATGAAGACCCTACCGATCGTGGATATATTGCGCCTTGCATTGGACGACAGCGCAGAACCAGACTACGACGTCTGCGACGTGAGTACCTACTATTTGGCCTAGTTCACTAGAAAAAAACCATCAGCAGAGGTGACCCTCACAACAACTTGTTGGACTAAATCTGTTAATCTACGCACAGACAACGGCGGCACCGCACCTGTAGGTACCTGGGTTTGTTTTTCAAGACGATTACTCTGATGATATGCTGACACAACTGTAGAAGACGGTGACTGCTTGTTTTGGTAAAAATTATAGCGCCAAAACGTTTTCCTTCATGATATTTGAGGATCAGAAGAACTACTTATATTGCACGATACGAAAAAAACTTCTTTCCTTTTTCTTTTGTCGGTTCTATCTTCATTTTGTGGTTCGAGATTACCATTATATTGTTTGCGTTGTTCCAGCCGTGATTATGATTATCTTTTTACTTCGAAGCCTTTGCTTGAATCATAATAGTTATTCGGCCGGCTGATAAACGTGATCGTATGTTCAGGTACACATTTACTTTTGGCGTTTAACGCGCATAACATTAAAGAGCTAACCAGCCGGTCAAAACAGTTGCTTAAAACAACAGGCTTTACAGTTCTGTGCTCGTGTCCGCAGCTGTAGAACATATATAAAGTGGCGTACGGGGATGTATCCTTGTTTTTAAGTAGGCTCATTCGACGCTGTTCAGAGTGACAGACCTGATTCACCACCTCTGCTCTATTATAGATGACAGTAAGGCTCACTGGCTACCTGGTTGTTTGGGTCTCTCAGCCTTTAATGTGTTCCGACGATTTCCCGATTGAGCTCGACTTGTAGGTGCTGTTATTGTAGGCCGATTCTCGCATGCTGTGACCTTCCTGTGGATCCTGTATTTGTTGTCGTCATTGTTGCCTGATGTCGGATGTCAATGATGTGTTCTTGCCTGGCCACTTATCACGGATGGTGATTTTACGATCGTATGGAGGCGACGGCAGCCGCACACCCACTGACGCTACTCGACACGCACATGAACACTCGTGGGAACGCAGTTCCAATCGATGGGCTCGAATGTTATCCAAAGGAACTTAAAGATCCAGGAGTGAGCCTCTTCGCTTACTTCTTGACTACGATTAGCATCACCTCTAGAGGATTATGATGGCTTCCCGGAATATGCTAGGTTAGACCTACAGCGGAAACAGGATGGTCAACATGTGTAGTTCTAACTAGAATATTTACGGGTGTGTAAGAGCACAAGGTACTACGAGCACTATAAAGAACCAAGGCGTTGATGAAAAAATAACCTTTTGAAAACAGACAACAAAGAGAGAAATACATTTTCAATAGATGAAAATCATGAGGAAACAAATAGAAATGAGGAGTAAATCAGGTAACACTAGAAACAATATGTCAGTGTCATCTATAAGGCACGTGACTGTCGCTTGCAACCATCGAGCGTGCAAGATATATCAAATCCTGCGATAGCGCAACGTGTAACAGCTAAAGTGTTTACCTCATACACGACTACTAAAAACCGTGTGGTAGTCTCAGGGTCAAAAAGCTTTATGTCTAGTTTTATTGGTGCGGGCGGCCAACAGCTATCGATTGTATTTCGGCAAAAGAAAAATTGTCTGTGTTTCCGACGACCCGTTGAAATCGGCAGCTAGCAGCATGTGGGCCTGCGGCATTGGCGAGCCTAGTAGTACGAGTATTTGTAAAACCCCACCAATAAGAGCGAGCTTCGTCTACAATAGATGGTTCGAGTTTCACGTCCGCTATAGCCGGTAGACCTTCCAACACGAACGGAGTGCGTTTAAGTCCGGATTCGAACCCGGACCACCACGTGTCCGTTAAGTTTAGTAGACAAGCACGTTACCCACGGGGATGATCGAGTTTCGTCGGGACTATATTAGCTGCCAAAACACTTGGCAGGACTTAGACGACACGCAACTCTGTTCCCTGCAGTGACTGTTGGCCATTGGCTGCCACATGTAAAAGGTCCTCGTGAAGCAGTGGCATCTATGCTATAGTCACACGGGTAGTGGTTGTCTGTCCGTGTGATATGTGTTACGATTATTGCTATGATAACATCTACCTCGAGAAAAAGAAGCCTTCGCGTTTATAACGATATAAAGTTTTTCGTACGTTCACCACCTTTACTCTTACACCTCAAATAATGATGGTATTACGTTTCGATTGTTGGAGGTCAATTGTTATAAAAAAAAAACCTGGAAGTTACTACAAATCCTCATCTCCTGAACGCTTGCCGCTTTGGTTGAATCTCTGTTATGTACTTATCTGCGGCCACTTAAGTATTTGTATATTTTGTACGTTCTCGCGCTACTTACAGCCTTTTGCTTATAATTAAAATAACCGTAAACGTCTGTTTTTTATCTTTTGCTGCTTTGACCGCTGATTGTCATTTACCTTTGTGTATGCTTATACCATCACTGAGAGTCGTAAACGCTTTCGCTGCTCTTTATGTTAAACATTTAATAACTTTTTTTACGAGAAAATTTGACGACACTACTAGAGTAGGAAATAGAAAAGGGTAATTATTGATGTAACGCAATACGGAGCTAGAACAAGCTTCAGACGGACATGTCTGTTTCAAATAGTTCTTATCGTCTCTCGCCCGACTAACGTTCCCATGATGATGACGAGAAAAATTCTATTCAAAGTTATAACCGTAATGCTTCAGAGGTAATCATTTCTAATACATTGCTAAGAATGGATGGGTAGATGACGGGAGACTACGTTCACACTTTTTATTACATATTCTTTAGATTAAAACTTGTCTCAGCAAAGAAAACGGACAGATTTTAGCGTTCCTATGACGACGGGATCGAGGCAGATTCGAACAAACACAAAGACGTGGACAAGCAAAAACACAAAGGTATACATCTACAAAAGTATCATTAACGGCAATTCTATAGAATTAAGAGGAGAGAAAGAGGAGGGAAGAGACCAATGTAGATTGACGCCACCGCATTCGATTCTACCAGCTATTGGTATGAGCATCGCCAAAATTATAAGCACCATCTCCCTGGCGATTCTGTTTGCGATTAGACAAACTGGGGTCCGCCTGGTATAATAAAACTGTATCTTGTTAGGTGCGACAGCCAAAACCAGCTCTGACGTTTTGTTGCTGACGCCAGCGACTCAAACGTTCGTCGTCTATGGTAAAGATCGGCAATTTTTTGACCGCAGGGCATGAGTAATACTCGTGTACACATGCGATAGTACAGCGATGATGACATAGATGTTGTTGGGCAGAAATGACAAAATATCACCGAAATATTGAGAAGATGCGAGACAAACATTGAAAACAGAAAATACATGATAATGGCGGCTAGCTATATTATACTATAGTATTTATTTATTATCACAAGGAGAAAAAGCGTTTGGAATGGAAAACATGACCTTTTTTATATAATATTTTTATGCACTGAGCAAGACGACCTTTCTAGGCAATCGCTGCGAACAGATTATCGTCTTAAGAACCGCCGGTAAAATAATCAATATGATGATGGCTTATCCTTTTCGAACCGATCTATCTTGAGGGTTTACTAGTAGACCTTTAAATAAACACAAAAGTTAGAGCGTTTTTCTTTGTTTTTTTTTTATACCGTACACATTTTTGTTCGGTGATTGGAATTGCATACTGCTACGGTTCGGTTCACTAAATGAAGCAGTTAAATCGATCAGATATTGAAATCGGTGTATTTTCCCTTCTCATTAACGTACGATATTAGAATTGGTATTGTATCACACTGCAGCGGTTAACGTTCAATATCTAAAATTATCGATAGGCATAGTTATACATCATTTTGTTTGTTTGTTTTTCTGTGTGTGTCTGACCTGCGAACCGTGCGTCTGGCATTGACTCTGAAGGCAGAGTATTCCACGTGCGTGCGTACATATTCGACCTTGTAGAATACACGAACAATTCAGCACGGCCAGATGTCAGCAGATCGAAACAGGCCGCGTCATGTTATTGTCGCATAGTGATGCAGTCGCTGCCACCATGATAATTGGATCGATTAAATATATCCTGCTACTAGAAATATACACGATCACTGTTACCGCGTGAACAAAGAAATAGGTACTGCAGCCTGCGGTATATAAACCTTGGCGTGGCGTGCAAAATTAGCTGAGTCAGTTGCGATGAGTGTTTAAACGTCTGCGTAGTTGGTCGATTTCTATGGAAAAACAGTCATGATCAAGTCATTTGGATTCGGCTGTGAATTAATGACGGGCTTGCTGCAATGCGGACTTGATGGCTAGCCAGCTCGTGCACGACCACATATCTTTGTTGGTGCACGCGTACGGTACACATGTAATGAGTATTTATGGAGCTCACTGGTCGACGCTCGGTGTGTCGTTGAAGGGCCTGCAAATGCCGAACGTCTATCGTAAGAGGATGGATGTAAGAAGGATACAAAAGTTGAGACGATGCATAATTGTCTGTCTTTGAGCCTGCTTTTCTTTGATCTAATTCTCTCTCTTTCTACATATGCGACGAGCACGAAAACGAAAAAGGGCAAATGATAAAATGAAATTATTAAAATCTGCACGAACGGTTGCCACTTGTTACACTTGATCCGGACAATTATAACAATTGGTTTGGGGACCACGCACGAGCAGCAGTTGAGTCTGGAGGCGGACCTTCGAATAAGAGCAGCCATCATTGCACGCATGGATTGTGAAACGTTATTACGGGTGATAAAATTATCAGATGCTATTCAGATTGGTGTCAGCCTTATTATTCAGCACGACCGCGAAGTGTGCATATATCTTGATAGAAAATGGATACGATAAATATGAACAGATATTCGCAAATGGCCGGTACGGCTGCATCAGACAGCTTCGGAGTTTAAGTACCGACACCGAAGTTCTATCAGTAGCAGTCATGGAAGTACATACATCGAAGAAAAAGAGGCGGGGATTCTTTGCAACAACGCCTTTGCCGCCTGGGGCTCACCAGAGACGCATATTGGACTGTGGCCGCCTGCATGAATACTATTGTACATTAGACACGATCGTGTATCTAGATTTATATACCAGGAGCATTTTGGTCTTAGAATGACGACGATATGCGTCTAATTACATATGGGGGAAGGGGTGGGGTATCAATGTCCAAATTAATAACTGTGAATTAATAATTCGTAGAGTTGCTTAACGGAAAAAACACCTAGCGGGTATCAGAAGTTGAAGTAGCTAGGTAACCGTTTAATGTTAAGGACAGATATGCAGCGATGTACTTCGTAGCTCTATTATGATGTAAACAAAAAGCAACAAATAATGCTCGCCATTTCTTTTTTCCGCTGTACTTTACCACCTACGCGTGTTAGAATCTAAGTTTTCGTTAAAAATATGTACCACTTTATTCTAGAAAGGAATGGAAATCATTCGACAGTCACCTATGGTATTTTCAAAGCTGGACCCTGAAGCTATTGTTGCCGCCGCTCGTTAATCGGTTTTTTTTTTTTACTTAGGTTTTTTACATGACAGACGGCGCAACGGGTTAGGTTTCTGTTTCGGCCTGTTGTCCTAAGCTCTTGTTTTCTCCCATTGTTTACCTATTGGTAAGTATATGTATGGCTACAGGGGATTCCGTTCTGGGCGTTAGTTACTTCGGGTTAGTTTGCTTGCCTCTTCATCAGTGGCCTTCAGATGTAAATGAGGGGAAGATTCCTTGTCCTAGTCATTTTTCTTAATTTTTTCTGCCGTCTCAAATTTGAATTGCAAATCAATTTCGATCGCGACGCGAACAGATGCTAAGAGGAGTCGACAAATCAAACGCTGCGTAGACAGGATGCCATGCACCCGTCATGAATCTTGTGCGTAGATGCGCATATGCACTTGCGCTCTGTCTACAGCAACGCCATTCATACTGAACGAGAAGGTGCTCCGAAGGAGAAAAACAACCAATAAATATAGACGACTCTTTCGGATTTAATGATAAACCTTGGACGACTGTCCAGTAAGGAAACAGAGCGGTAAACGTGGAAGAGGTTAAGGTATAGATTAAGATCAGGTATATATTGAGCAGTAACTATGGGTCGAAATATAGAATATTGGCCTGATCATAGGTATCCTTTACTTGATATTTTTATTTGTATGGTTTTCGCTTTTTTCGTTTAAGAGAGAAAGAGAGAGGAGCGTCAGCGATGGTTTACGTAAATTACAGCTTACTGAGAGCAATTTTCGCTATAGCTGTTGCTGCTGATATCGGTTAGAGCTAGAACCTAGGTTGCGGGGCCACTATAATTAGTGTGAAAGGTTTGAGTCATCAATACCACGAAACATGTGGGATCGAATGTGTGGCAGTCTTTAAAGTACTTGACGCTGTTGATAGAACGAAAAGGGTGCGAACGTGTAAGGAGTAGGCGAACGACGAAATAGAACAAACTGTGCCAGTACTTACTGATGTGTGCCTATCAAATATTGTCACCGCCATGTTCAGCGTAGCCATTGAAACTCATCTTCGTAGCCCGGTTGAGGGAACGGCAACTTCTGATATTCTTCGAGGAAATGCCACCTCACTGACGAGGTGAGATGGCTTGATTGCTATACAGGCAGATCTTTAGGACGATAACTAAACATTTATGAAGAGAGCAATGGCTGGAATAGAAAACCAGCCGTTAGTTGGAACGTCTCAAAGATATTTATTTAAAGGCAGACATTAGAGACGCTCCTGTCTCTGCAGCTCGCCGCTGCTTTATATATATATATATATACACACCAATATATATAACAATAATTACGACTCATCAGTCAGCTGTCAAAAACATGTTACGGAGATATAATACGAAAGACTTGTTACTTGAAAATATAGCAGGCAGTGAGCGAGCACGAAAGGCATCAGTAGCTACCTGCTTGTCGTAGTTCTCATAGCTGAACGTCTATTTTTATTAATCGTGCACTCCTGAATGGGGTGTGACGAGCCGTGCGATGAGTTACAAAGAGTAAGAAAGGAAGACGATAAGGAGGGCAAGCAATACGACCAAAGGACGAATCGAGAGTTAAATCAGCTGTTTCAGCCAATTACTTAGTGCATAGTGGTAATACAGCTTCTATTAAAATGCTCTTCCTGAAGGAACAAAAAGTCAGTGCACCCTACAGTGGAAGATACCGCCATAGTAGGACCCCGTTTGTGCTGAATAATGTTATTTAACTAAGTTAATGGTCGATGAAGAAAACACTTGGTTAGTAATAATCTCTTTTCGCACCCTTTCCCGACGAGACAGTCTTAAAGCCACATCAAAGTTGACAGGAGAAACTGGAGCGTCATATGACTAGGCGACGAACGCAGATCGGCGTTCGCCAATCGCGAACCATACAACACGTCTTCCTGGTCTTTCGCTATCTTTTCTTGTTCAATTTGCCACGATTTTGACAACAACAAAACTACTACAAAAACACGACAAGTATTCGAAATTCATCTAGGCATGACGCGCTGATGTCTGTGGCAGGCGTATACAAGACGAAGCTGTGATGCATCGCATCAGGGTGCCATTGTAGAACTGTCGCCGCTGAGAAGGCCCATACATAGCAAGCGTCGACGAAATCATTAGCAAGTATCAGCTATCTGCACTACAATACAACTGCTACTCAATGATGAGAAGTAAACGAAAAATCATCAAGTAGAAAGAAATGGAAAAAAAATCGGTGAAAATATGAGGATTTTGTTGTCGTTGTTGCCCTTCGGATCGTAGATATTGGTGAGGAACGGCAGCGGTTGCCCCTCCTGCGCGTTATCAAGCTAGGTCCGATGAACGCAAGCAGATCAATTGAGCCGTTAAAATGGCATCGCCATTGACGTTAACAATACCAGCCACCGCAGTAACAACAACTATAAAAACACCGATTGGCAGCACCGTTGGCTATGTAAAACGATTCAATCGCACCATGGAAAGAGGTGTTTGTATCGTGAAACATCGACTAGCGGACCTACTTGAGCAGGCTATTTGATTAACACAAGCAAATTATGATAGTTACAGCGCTACACTACTCCCTCTTCCCGGTTTACCACTCGCCAGCTAACGGTGGTAGCAGCAGCAGCAGCAGCAGCAGCAGCAGCAGCAGCAGCAGCAGCAGCAGCAGCAGCAGCAGCAGCAGCAGCAGCAGCAGCAGCAGCAGCAGCAGCAGCAGCAGCAGCAGCAGCAGCAGCAGCAGCAGCAGCAGCAGCAGCAGCAGCAGCAGCAGCAGCAGCAGCAGCAGCAGCAGCAGCAGGAAACGCAAGGGTAAAAGAACAAATGTCGATTGTACAAACAAAGACGTACGAAGCATTTCATGCAAGCATGTGCCTTTGATCTGCATGTCCTGGCGTAGATTCTTGATGATATTAGAAGGCTGGGGGAATGAATATCGTTCGCTTTTCTCGTTCAGCTGGGGTAAAGGGCTGCGGTGTAGAGACCAGGGAATAGTCATTGTCTGCGTTCTGGCGGAAAGGCACAGAGCAATGCCCCAGAAGCGATCGTGACAACTGTGGCAGTGACGAACGAAACGGTGAAAGATCCGGTGTTGCCGATTCGCAGGAAGCAGTTGTCGATCGCTTGTAGCGTAATAATCATTTAATGGCCCTATCTTTCGTTTTTGGATGGGAGAATTGAAGACAGAAAGTAGAAAAATCCACATTGCCCTTTGTTCCCTGGGCGGCCCACTCATCTGTCCTATACCTTGCTGTTCAAACGAAGATTAAAATTGTTTGTTTGCAACATGATCGATACTTGTATTCTGTAGTATGTAGATAGATGCGCAATGTAGAGATAGAAAAAAAGTGATTGATCTCAAAAAACGCCATTAGCAATTAAACAAAAAACAATCCAGGGACTTGGTTTCGTTCCTTTGTGTTGTTATATTGTAGTGAAAGTAACGATAATGCGGAAATTTCATTTTTTCTATTATTATTATTATTATTATTAGGTGGCATAAAAATCATAACACATGCCACTTTCTGAGAAAGAAAGAGAGAGAGAGAGAGAGAGAGAAAAAGAAAAAGTGAAAATGAAAAAAGCGACTGCTACAAATCAGTTTAGGCGGAAGTGGCATCGAGATGTGATTGAACTTTATCTTTATGCCTAATGGAGCTATTGCTTAGTAGGTACTGGACATGACGATTCCTGTTATGGGGGGACCCAAAGCGATTGTGTTTTTTTTTTCGAGAACAATTTCTTTTTTTTTTTATAAACAACTCCATACGGACTCTTAATTCCTTCTTGGTCTTCATTTGTGTCGATTTCCGTATTCAGAACAATTTCGTAATCGGCATGATATGCGCTTAGCATATATATAAGGCTTACAAGAACTACCGCCTATCAAAGCGAAGTTAGTAAAAGTTATGAGTTAGGAGAGCAGCGGAAACGGTGATACCGCAATAACAAAATTCAGTTCAGTATGAACCTAGACGTGGGATAGGTACGTAATAAACGGAATCCTTCAAAACCATTATACTCATGCAGCAATGGAGCGGTAACCCCCCAACGGCTAATCACACAGTAGAAGCAGCACGCAAAAAGCAGGATGCCATGTTCATTTCGCACTTGAGATATGCTTGTATGGAGTAGAAGTGGCGGGAGCCAATGAGCTCCGCCCCGTTTGTGAAACTCGTCTTGCTTGATATTTTTGAAGGCCAGTCGCTGGACCTTTTTCGTGCTTGATTCTTTTGTCAGTTGTAGCCCGTTGCTACTAGAAGCACTATGACATAGTAGTACAAAGCGGAAACGTCTCTGCGACTCACGATAGCACTTATCTTGCTTGACTGTCGCCTCCAGTGGTCAAGCGAGACTTCAGTGTTTCGACCGTTTTTATCCAACTTGTTCAAATATTCTGCCGAGTTGTGGCGAACTTCTGGTCACCATACAATCTCATTTTTCTTTTGCTGCATTATTGTTGCGCCTCCATGGCGGCAGAAAACTGGCATTCATTCGTTGAATACTATGTTCAGTTACTGCCTCTAGGTCGCTAGTGCGAGTGAATAGAAGCTCAGAGGAATAGGTCGGTTGGCTCATCCCTTCGATTTGCCTATATGACAGTACGGGCTGTCCTGCACAGGCTCAACAGGCATGTGTGCCGTAATGCCGAACGTGTCGATACAGGAATTACCATATCTATTTTAGTCACCATCTCGATTCACCGACAAACTCCTGGTTTTGTATTTCTCCACCTACAGACCATAGAAGCTAAACGAAAAGCTTCCGATTGTTTTTGACTTTAAGCTAGAGCCACGGCATAGATAACGCTATCATCCCTTTACTTTTCACTTAGTCTCGCCAAGTGTCCCATTTTTCGCGCTTTTAAAAGATGTAGCCGACATGCTGGAATGTATGAGTAAGTCTGAACGCGGTCAACAGTTATGACCATTGAAAGCGCCGTTTAGTATTATGTAATTTTATGCTGTTAAAGGGGCGGGTCCCTTTCGTACTACTTACTCTGCTATCGTCAAGCTAGATAGGGTCAATGGAACGGCGGAAAATGCAACGGTATGGTACGAACTGTGTGTTAACAAATTGTCGAATTTACGACAGATATATATATATATATATATATATATATATATATATATATATATGGTACATATTAGATATATGCGATATCTGGGAGCCCCAGAAATGCAATCGAATCTTTTTCGGTCCAAAGCAACAATTTGCAGCTGAGTGGGTAGTAGCAAGAGCGGCAGTGTAACTGAATAGGATACATGACGATAGCGTTATTGTACATAGCAACATCGTTGTCTCTGTATTTGTACTACTAACATAAGTCATTACCATTCACAGCATCACGACGAGCACCGTCAATTCCGCGCGGAGTGTGGCTCTAGACATGAATATACGTTGAGCTACGTATATGCATATATATATTTATATGTCTATCTGCAAGCTAGAAACCCTCCTGGTCGCTGGCTGGGCCAGCCATCCAAGCAACCCACAAGCAGCGGATCACTATCTTGTTATGGCGTTATCAGCTTAAGAAATTTCGGAACAGACAAAGGTTGGAAAACAGATGTCTATGATAACAAAAATATATATCAAAACTGGGTTTTGTGCCGGCTATATAGAAAGGCGGTAGTCCTCGTCATGTGGTGATGGCATAGTTACACTTTTCCCATCATCACCAACATCAATATTACCATTACCAATACTATTTACATCTATAGCATATATAGAATGTAATGCGCAAATCACAGAAGCAGTTTTACGTAACTATCCTCTGATGTACGCGCAATTACGTGCGGCACGTTCCGCAAGCGATCGCTTCTGGGCCTTCTTTGCGTGTGCCCCTGTCTGATGTACATGTCTGTGCGCGTGTATTTGGGTGTCCCATACGTGCGTGCCTAGTCCGTATTGATATGACGATAGAACCGAAATGGCGAAACGAATAATGAGGTTTCGGGGTTGTTGCGGTTATTGCCATACGTGATTGTCAGCTTCGTGGGGGTTTAGTCAGTTGGCGGCAACTATTTAACAAATACGCAAGAATGGAGCAGCTGGAGCAGATGCCGAGGAAGGAATTGGAAAGGATCAACAAGATGATGGTTAGAAATTCCTTTTTTCTTTTTCCTTGACGAAGAAAGGCAATTTTCTCGGTCGTCGTTTTACCGCTGGAGCTGTAGCTTCCCTCGCTATCTTTGTAATTTTTTTTGCTTCTTTGATGGTTCCGCCGTTGTTGCAGTCCCGCAACTCGATAAATTTGATAGTATCGTATTGCCATCACGGGCGCTCCCGCGTTTTTTTGGACGATAAACGATATCTGCCGTTTCGCCTTCTATGCCTCGGCATGCAGGCGGAATCGAGGCGTTTACGCTGAATTTCTGTCGTCGCCATGTCGCAGGGTCGACGGGACTTAGTTGCTGCGTAGCGATACAGAGGTGACACCGGCGCAATGGTTGGCTTCATTTGAATTGTGACCGCTCCTATTATTGTTAGATTTGCAGACATGCCGAAGTCGGCGAAAATCTGAGAGTCATCCCGGTTGCAGTTGTTATGCAGAACGGCAAAAACAATCATTGTTTAGAAGCCTTGCTCATAGCAAGGTTCTTGTGAACGCTGTTACAAGCAGGAGAAACCGAGACAGCTAACCTTAGGCTCAGCTCGTGGACTACCTAGGGATATTGGGAACTTTCCATATAGTATAATATAGGTATATGGATGGTGGTAAATTGGACTGCAGAAGTGCACGTCTCGAAAAATAATTGCGTATTTTTTTATTTTGTGCGCGTTTACGCGTTAGCTCAATACGGCTTAATTGTGTAGTATGCTGTGCTCCGTCGTCCGTATGCATCGATGCCTTTGGACACCGGCAGTGCATGATCTACTAGAGTTCGTACAATTTTCTCTTTAATTAATCTTTTTTTTGTTATGTTGCCTTCTTTTCGTCTTTTTTCTTAGTGCAACGCTGTGCGCTCCCCTGCGACACCTTTTTGTCACCTCCTTTGATGGTTGTTGTCTTTCCGCGAACTCATGTCGCTAACTCTGGTGCCCAGTAACCGCAACTGCGAAGAAATTACTGGGAAAAAAGCAACGGCTCGCGGCCTTTGAATGGCGTTTAGACAATGAACGGCCATCTTCGGAAACGATGTAACGGCCGTCGAGGCAGTGCCGCAGAAAATTGAGAAGCACGACTTCGGTAGTCAGAAAATTGACCAGCGTTTTCCGCGGCCGTTTTGATGACGATGAAACCTCGGCTACAACGTTGCGGGGAGTCCTGGGGTATCGACTTCGCGTGTCTATCTCAACACAACCCTAGCACAGCACAGAAAACGAGGCTTGGACGGTACGCTGAACAATGACAAAACCTGTGGTCGGTTATGTCGCGTCACGACGCAACAGTCGCAAACGATTAATATTGTTATTTTGAAAGCTAACAGCCCGACGTCGGGCAGCGGGCTAAACGATTGTGGATGGAACTTGTTGTTGCATTTACTTCGTCCAGTTATCGATAATCATATAGATATGAGCATTTATAGGCATCGAAGTGATACCGCGGACGGCAAGCATTGTCTGTGAGCGTAATCAATTCAGTATTGATGTCCGATGAACAGGCACTTACCAGGTGC